GTAAGTTGATAAGCTGTGATAATATGCCAGAAACATATTATGTATAATTATAATATATGTGAGTTGTAACATGTCAGTATAATTGTTACATATTTCTTTTGACAACCTCAGAAGGAGGTCTGTACTATTACATTTATTTCCCCAAGTACTTCCCTGTTCCAAATATAATTTTCCAAAATTCATGACAATTAGAGACAAGAGGTTATAAACAAAGAAACACACATATACATTTATAACATTAGTTAGGATTATTATATTTATTTTATTTTTATTGTATACAATACACATTTCTTTAGCTTGCAAAGAGGTTTATTAATAACTATTTTAAATGACAATTTCCGCAACATAACCGAGCTCCTAAACACATTAAAGATTTAATAGCACGCCCAGGAAGCTTCATCACAGATAGGCCGATGCCCTCAGCTCCTTTACTCCGATCATTATGAACGATTAACCCAATTAAGCGTGTACTTTTTACATAATTCTCATAACGATACGGAAACTATTTTTTTAATATAATTTTCTTTTTATTTTTTATTAGTTGTGTTTTGCATTTAAACGTGTACTCTCCTATGTTATACTTGTGAATGATGTCACTTATAGAGACTGATTTGCTTACTCATCAGGATCATCATTATTTCAACCATTATCTATCCACTGCTGAACATAGATCTCTCCCATAGACTATCGTAAGGAACAGTCTTGAGCCACCCACATCTGCTGCATCCGATGCTGTACAGAAAAAGGCAGATGCCCTCAGCCCTCCCTTCCCCTTTTAGATGAAGTAATGGCCTCAAATTGCATTGCAGGGATTCCGTGGATGCAGTTGGTAGAGAACTGTTCTTTATGACAGTCTATGGGGGAAACCTACGTTCAGCATTTTATAGATAATGGCTAATATAATTAATGATTTTTTTATTCTATTTAAATCCGTATATGAGTAATTAATTTACCTCTAAACACTTTTATATGTGTGACTATATGAACGTAACTTTTAAACAAAAATATTTTTTTCCGTTATTTATTACACGTTTTTTTAGTTAAAGCCGAAGCTACAATTTATCAATCGAACCGTTAGTTTGTTAGCAGTTTTTGGTTTAAAAAATGTCACTGGGTTGCATTCGCAAGTGCTAATCATAAATGAACTTTGTTTCAATTGTATAAAACCAACCGGGCTTTAACAAACAGCGTTACTTAGGTACACATAACGGTTTGCACTCATTCATCAAAATACTCGTGTAAATACAGAAATAGATGGTACTATTAAAATTGGAAGCGATGTAGTGTGACATTGAGATCAAACGATCAATTCTGCAATGTTGTTATTTGAACAATTTTATGTTATTAATTGCAAAAGATTTATAACCTTTTCATAAGGGGTATTACGGGCGAAACAGTATACTCTGTTATGTCCATGGTACTGCTCATGTCTATAGGCGACGGTTGCCACTTTCCATCAGGTGGGCCGTCAGCTTGATTGCCATTCTAAGTTGTATAAAAAAAAAGTAATTATTCAAAATTGTCCAATTTTTATGAATGATATATTTTTTTAAATTGATAATAAATATTCATTTACAAAGAAACATTAATTAAAAAAAATTAATGTACTTAATTTAACAGTTTATTACTGTGTTGGTTAGGAAGGAGCAGAATTTTTTATTGCTTTTCACCCCATCTTCCACATTTCTTAAATGAGCATTCTGTGTTTTCAATTATAATCTGAATAATGATAGGGATTTTCGGGTGCTCCCCAAGAAGCGTTTAATAAAAAAAAAAAAATTCATTCACTTACAATTCATGGAAGTACGGCGGTATTAATTTTCGTAGAAGTACCTAATTCATCTTTAAGTGAAAAAAAATTGTCTTGAATCCCTCGTAAATTAGTTACCCTCGTAATTTCAGACCCATCTTAACCCGGGAATACAGGATTCTAGGGGACACAACCCGCTTCACGCCGTTCCCCGCCGTCCGAACTTTTCACAAGTTTGGTAAAATTTCTTTTGAATGGAGAGCAATTTCTAAGCAGTACACGAACTGAATTTTAAAATATGCTAAAGATGACGTTATTATAAAAATATAATAATTAATTATTAATATTGTGTACATATGTATTAGAAATAACGAGAAGGAACATTTGTAATTACTTATTATTATTTTAATCTTTTTCACATTCTAGTCTTCTTAATGTATTTTTAGATATACACGAGGATCTAGCTCGTGAGAGTAGGCCTCTTTGATACTCGTATTTGTTTTTAACTGACTTAAAAAAAGGAGAAGACTTTCAATTCGGTTATATTTATTTATGTTTGTTATATCGTAGCTCCATTATTTATAAACCTATTTGGAAAATTATTTCCTTTGTAAAATCGATTTAGTAGTTAGGTCTTTCAAAATTAAAATAACTAAAAATGTTTGTCACGACTGTAGCCATTGTTTTGTTTTGTGCAACAGATACTATTGTAATAAATAAACAAACGGCTCTGCACAGCTTTTATATAGTTTTAAATGATGACGATCTTATTATTAGATAATATTATAAACTATTTTAGTAGTTTTCTCAACAAAATGTGTTTTCAAAAATAATTGTTTTTCACACCAATTTCAATCGTGGTTTAAAACCAGTCATTTTCATTTTAAAACTAAACCTCTAAACTAAATTTTAATAAAATTTCTATAGGTCCATATTTTTACAAAAAAACAAAGAATGTTCCAAGTCGGTGTACACAGTTGTATAACTGACTTATGGAACAAAAAAAATTATGACCGAATCGAGAACCTCATTTTTGAACTCAGTTGAAAAAACATATATCTCGTTTCTTATATCTGCAATATCGATTCCGTCGTTTCATCTACTTGTTATCCAAAATTCTAAATGGCGGTCAATGTTGCCGGTGCAAATAAAACGCGAGTCCGCTCACCCAAACATTCGAATAGGGATAATTGAACCGTATAACTGGCAACGCCGTTTACCCGACCGTTTTCAAAAGGATAAAAGACTTTATATATTTCTAAAAACCTTATCGATTTTCTTTAATCTTTCCTTCAAATATTATAGATGTGAAAAAATTCGTTTATGAAAGCCGTTAATCATTCATCATGCAAGTGTTCGTTACTATGTTATTTTTATAAATATAAATGACTAACTCGACAGAAATTCCAGCAACGCACGGGTAAATACAATATTTTCTTATCTTCAGTTAAGTTAAAGAAGATTGCATTCCACAAAAAAAACCGACTTTAGTTTTAGCAAAACTATTATGATAAGATTATGATGATTCTATGGAATCAACCGGTCAATAAGTATATCCTTTCAGATAAAAATAGAATTTGTTAATTGACCGAGTTAGGAGGTACCAGAGCAAGTCTTTGTACAAAAGTCGTTTGCTTGGGCACTTCTGTCTCATTCGTGTTTCTACCGTGAAGCAGTTGTGTTTGCATGGCTATGTTTCGATTTGAGAATTTACAGGGTACAGAGAGAGTACAGAGAGTAACACCTGAGTTCTCAGGAATAGCAACGCATGGGGGGTATCATGGGCGAAACAGTATACTCTGTTATGTCCATGGTACTGCTCAGGTCTATAGGCCACGGCTACCACTTTCCATCAGGTGGGCCATCAGCTTTTTGCCAAAAAAAATACAATCGAATTTAGAACCTCATTTTTTTTTAATTGGGTTGAAATTTATTTGAATTAACATCTCTCGCAGTGGTTTTTCGGAAAGTATTTCATATCTATTAGTCATCAGAGACACATATGTAATATAAGAATAAAAAGATCCGTAAATTCGCCAACATTCAATGCTCAACAATATGTCGACTACAGAAATATAAAATAAACAAGTTCGCAGTTGTGACCTTACGATATATTTTATTTCAATATCATACAATAACAAACGTTCTACTTGAACAATGAATATATTTATTTATCTATACTGTATTATTATATAAAGTACAAATCTTGACTGACTCATCAACGCACAGTCAAAATTATTAAAGTTAGAATTACCAACTTTTAACAATGGATCGTTTTTGATGAGTTCGAAATTCGTCCTTAAGGATGAAATATGAGGGTGGAAGTCTATATGGATTTTTATTTTTCAACCTATAGCTACTTGAAATTTACTATAAATAGTTACAAATAAAAGTAATGAATCCCAATTTCAACATTTCTTTAAAAATCAACCCCTAAGAATTTTACAAAGGAATGTAGTAAAATGTCCTGACTGACTCATCAACGCGCAGCTGAAACTACTAAAGTTAGAAATACCAAATTTAGACAGTAGATACCGCATATAACCTATACAAGTAATAAGAAAGAATTTTTCGCAAAAGGCCTTTAAAGGTGTAAAAATAAGAATGGAAGGTTGTATGAGTAAGTATATTCTTTTAATAAATTTACTTGAAAGTAATTACACATATCTTCTTATATAAAAATAGTAAAACTTAGTTATAATATATATGGAATAATATGGAACGAAAATTAATGTAAAATATATATTTTTCCGCACCGATTAAGGAGTAAAATTAATAAACTAACAAGAAAGTAATAATAACCACGAAATTGTCCTGATTTATGTATTCAATTACTTTCTTAACTAAAACAATTATTTCAATGAAGTTCCGAGTGTGAACTAAAGAATAAAAATTAGCATGGGAAATAATGTTTTAAAGCTGATTATATAAAATCGATGAAATCTGTCTAAAAAAATCTATATACAATGCATACAAATTTTTATTCACACAACAAAAATGAAATTTGGTACATAGGTATATACCTACTAATTAACGCGGGAAAAGCCGCCGAATATCTATACTATAAAAATTTGCAAACAGGAAAGAGTTGATTGTGTTTTTTTTTTTTTATAATGGATAAACTCTTATGAGTTTCTACGTTAAAACTTCTTTCATCTATAGAAAACTACATTACCATACATTATTTCCAAAAATTCTATCTACCCGTACGATAATCCAGGCCAGTTCGCATTAATAAAATAAAACTTACCTTGTGGCGTATAATATTGTTATCGTGCATGGCGCTTGGAGTTTTTGGAATTCGTAATGAAACAAGTATCAGTCACCAGTCACAGCACACAACTAACGAGATACGCTCGCGAGTCTGGACAGCAGACCCATTCAAGGGATCACGAGTTGACGATAGCGTCACATCCATAAATAATATCAATACATTGGTTGTTGCATATTTCCATCGTCACTGTACGTCTGTTATAAGTCAGCAATGTATAATGGGAATGTGAAATCACCATTACGTTATGACCGATCGTTGACTGCGCCCGCGCATCTTGTTTTAAAGACGCAACACGGGGCGGGGGCGATTTTGACACCATCTGCGATCAATTGACGTTTCAACATTATTTGCCAAGCGAACTTGAACTTTATTTAGGTCTAATCTGAAATTATGATGTCTAAATTCAGCGTTTATAAATATCATTTAATACTAGATTGACGATAGTTGCTTGCATTTAAATGATGACAATTGGACATGTGTTGGAAAATTAACTTTGCCCTCTACATTTTATGTGTTAGATTTGTTAGCCACAATAAGTACAGTCGGAGGTCATTTAATTTTGTCACTTGCCATTTTAACGGTCTTTTAAGTAAGTATATACAACTAATATTACTAGAATCGCACTAGAAACATATAAACAGAAATAAATTGTCCTCACTTCATGAATAACCAGCGTATTTATAAGAATATTCAATAAGTAATTTGATATTTTAATTTGAAACGATAAATAAAAGCTTTACAGATTATGGTAAAATCCGTTATGTTGATTTCAATATTAAACAAGTAATTATTTTGATGGGATTTCTATGGGATCAATCTGAAACCATATCTATTCGAAATACAAAAAATACAAATCCGTTTATAAAAAAGGTTTGATGTAATATAAAAATATAATGTAATACAAAAATTGCAACAAAAGTATTACACTAAAATTGATGAAATTTCTATGGAACTAATTAGAAAGTATATCCTTTTAAATAAAAAAGATTTTTTTCCAAGTCTGTTCATAAATGGCGGAATTTTAAGAAACAAACGTAAAAAACAGTTTTCTCCTTTTTCGAAGTTGGTAAAAACATTTTATTTTTTTATAGATATACAATTATCTTATAAGAATGTAATTAATTATCTAAAATCTATCTCTATTCATAAAAATATTTTGATATTTGATGTCCATTCATCGATCGCTATTGAACAAGTAATGAAAAAGAATATACTAAAATACATTTGTGTTAACTTTTTAATTTAATAAGTATGTAAATAGGTTCCTTTATTAATAACTTAACTCCACAAGAAGAGAAAAATTAACATTAAGTATACCTACTTGCTTACCGTGTTGTCTCGGGTGTGGTAATCGACGACTAAGGGAACTGAATGATCAAAGGATGGGCAGTAGCGTCTCTCTTAATACATCACGAAAGCTTAATTGCGGTTGCCAAACCGTCCGCCAAGCGTAGCAACTACTGGCAAGACCTCACTTATGGAGAAGCCTATGTTCAGCAGTGGACAGTTACCAGCTGAAATAATAATATTTAATAACTACTTACACGAAAATGCAGTTTTCTCTTAAACTATGTATTTATAAACTTTATGAGCGAATGTTACTCCAATCTAATGGACACATTACAAAGTTAGGTTATTATTATAAGTTTTTAGGTATTTTACCCTTTTCAACATTCCTTACTTTTGACATTTTATGAACATTATAAATATTAAATACCTTACTCCATTGTAGGATATTTTGACACTTAGTTGATGTTCTGTCCGGATCTTTTCCTTGATTTTATAAAGTTGATATTTATGACAGAGGAACAATATTTATAAATGGGTTTGTTGATGATTTCTATATATTTACTAACTTTTTGCCCACAACTTCGTTCGCGTGGATTTCATAAGTTGGAAAACCAATGAAACGGTCCACTTCTACATGCATATCAAGGAAAAACATACACTAGTTTTTAAGTTACATCTTCCAGAATGTAACTGTGAGACCTAATCCCATTTGATGCAGTAGTTTTTGTGTGATGCCGGAACAAAATTTCAAAAAATTATTGCTTTGGCTTCTATTACTCTTATTAAAATTCTTAATAAGATTTATTCTAGAATACGTGTTTCGAATGCATCTACTCGTACAGTAAACTGACTTAAACTGACTGTTCATTTGGAAACTACGTTTCTATAAATCGTAAACCTGACGTCCTTTTTAGGTCAGAGTTGGAAAAGTAGTAATGTTGCTTTTAAACTAGATCCTAGAACCGTGTGGTTTCAGCATAGAAAGAATTACCACTTTCTTTTCTGTAAATGTCGTAAGAGGCAATTAAGGCAAATCAAAGGATAAGGGATGGAGCAGCAGCGTCCCTCTTAATACATCACCAAAGTCTAACTGCGTTTGTTAACCTAACTACCAAGTGTGACAACAACTAGCAAATCGCTTCAATCCTCAAATCAAATAGAGGAGGTCTGATGGAAATTGGTAACTGTCGCCTATAGACTTAAGCAATACTATGCACATAACAGGTACATTTTTTAAAAGCGCCTGATGGTTATTATATAGCACATTGGTGTATTAGTGAAATGTTCTGCACATTAATTGCTTTACCTTACTGACCTGAGACAATATTTACTAAAGAAAGAATGTTACCTAAAAACTTCAATTGAGCAGCACTAAAGCGTAACAAATAGAAGTGGATTGGTCACACAAACGTTGCATCGCACGGTTCTGGCAAAAGAGAACAGCATCGGTAAAACGAGAAGTGAGTTGAAACAAATAATAGAAGATTGATATCAATGAAAGATCATTGTAGAAGCCCTCTGCCCTCTTTAGGAAACGCAGGACATTAAAAAAATTTCTTTCAAATATAATTTTTAAGAAACCCTAGTGTTTGGAGTAGTTGGTTTTAAGGATAGAAGAAGACCTAAAAGATATGGATGGATTGTGTGAAAAATGGGAGTGAATTTTAAATGACTGCAAGTAGAGAAAAACGTATTACTCCAACTTCAAATAGGTAATTTGGATAAGAAAGTGATAATCACGGTAGTGTTTGAAGTAGATGAACTAATTATTATTTTTAAACAATACAATAGTAGAAGTAAATATGTATTTTTTTTTTCTTTATTTTAATGATCATTACTAATAGATTTTGATCATTATTTTGTAACGGTTAAAGTTACCAGTTTATAATTTATAAATGTTTATGTTATCTGTCCAATTCCTAACATAGCGCTCTTCCAAAGACTGCCATAAGTAATGATCTCTAGCCTTGTAATTATTGTAAAAAGTACATACCATACCATATCAGCCGTTAACTATCTACTGTTAAACATTGGCCTCCCCGATCCCCTATCGGGCCTAATTTGTTACGATGAGTCAACTGATCTGTTTTTATCTGCACCTATTATCTCAATTCAATTCAATTTATTTATTGCATTCTACAATATTATTATGAAAGATGTAAATAATTGATACAGTACATTGTAGACCCTGTTGATCACAACAATTAGAAGCGAGGAGGACGTAGATCCTTAAATTTTCATAAAGATTTCAATAATTAAATAATTCAATTTCAATTTTATCAATGTAATTAAATTCTAATTAAAAACCAAATTAATTTAATGATTTTAACGATTTTTTTTTGTTTCCATATGTTTTATTTCAATTTAATGCAATTTAATGTAGTTGTTCATATTTTTATATCTTTTTATTATACTAATAAAATTATCTCTTACTGGTACACAGACAGCATATGCCGACAGCGCAAGTGGGCTCCATCCTGTCCTACTTCATCCACTTTCATACTCGTTATATATATATATATATATATATATATATATATATATATATATATATATATATATATATATATATATATATATATATATTGTAATATTATTTTTTATAATGTCATTTATTTTATAATTTTCATTTGTTCAGGCTATATATGACTTGTCATAAGGAATGGTTACTTATAGTCATTAACTCTCTGCAACATAGGTATATTTTTGAAATATGTCGCAAGTTTTATTCGAATTGGTTTAACTGTTTAAGAGTGATTGAGCAACAAACATTCAGAATCTTTGTGATTTATAATATTTGTAGAATTAACTTTGAATATTAAGAAACATTGGTGTTTCGCAAAAGAGTAGTGCATTTTTAATAGTTATTTGATTTTCTGTATCTCGTTTCATTTTCACAACGCTAGGTATTTATTTTAATTTTTAATTTATGCTATCAAATGAAGGTATCTTTTTATAAAGGAGAAATTAAAATTATACTGGATAATATAAATTTTTTACCAGTTACCAAAGAATTTGTATATTTTAAATACAAAATTAAAGCGAACAATGTGTTACTGTTTTTACAAGATGGTCAATAGAAAGGAATTTTAATATTTTTTTTTTATACAACTTAGGATGGCAAACAAGCTGACGGCTCACCTGATGGAAAGTGGTAACCGTCGCCTACAGACATGAGCAGTACTATGGACATAACAGAGTATACTGTTTCGCCCATGATACCCCCCATGCGTTGCCATTCCTGAGGACTCAGGTGTTATTCCTCTGTACCCACTAAATTCACGCCATATCCCACCCTTCAAACCGAAACATTTAATATTTACACTAGTTAGGGATCAGCATTTTTTATAGATATTATTTATATAATATAATATTATTATTTATAATACTATAATATTGTAAATATAGTATAATAATAAAGCGAAGAAATTTGTTTTGACTGCGTTATTTTCTATAACTACCAGTATCTAAATTCTTTTTGCATTTGCAAAAGTCATATGTGAAGACGCGGGATATAGCTATTCTAAATATAGCTATGATAAACTAAAATATCGATATATTGGCATCGATGCTAGTATTATTAGTATCTTCATAATATTCTAATATCTCCCAATTTCCCAGATCAAGGAAATAGTGATCGTGCATAATAACGACAAAGTTTTTTTGCAAAATTTATTCGTTTTAAAAATCATCATCATCACTTTAGCTATCACTATCCGTCTACTGTTGGACATAAGCTTCCACAAATAGACTGCTATAAAGAACGGTCCTGAACCACCTGCATCCACTGACCTTAATGCCTCTTACAACGCCGACGGGAAAGAATGTGGGAAGGGAAGGGAGGTTAACATACCATATATATAATACTAGCTTTTAGCAGCGACTTCGTCTGCAAGACTGAGATATGTTCACTGACCAGAGTAAAAGTAGCCTTATATCCTTCTTCATCTTAAATAGTACGTGTATACCAAATTTAATTATGACTATTTAAGCCGCTAAGACGAGGTAGCAAACTCACTTTCACATTTATAATATTGGTAAGGGTATATAACCTTTATAACTTGACTAACATGTCTTAGACTCATAATTTTCGTTTCATCATATTGCATCAGCCTTTAACTATCCACTAATGTAGTGTCTTCTTCTAATTGATTTATTAATTCCTCTGAAAGTCTGTACACATTCACATAATCCTTATTTCTATTTAACAATCGCATTGCACGAATTTGTTGAGCTTGACGTCGGCTGTTGTATAAATCTAAAGAGTTCGCTTCTTCTAATAAACTCAATAACACAAATAATGTAGTTATTTTAATGTATTAGGCAACCAAAAAACTTATGTTTAAATACAATTTATAATATTTTTATAAAATCTCGATTACTCCGTAGGAGCTTTATATTTGATAAATGGAATCGTGTGTCTTGGGTGAAGTGAGTATCGAAGTGAGTGGGAAATTCCCTTACAGAATGTCACTAGACTGCACCAAATGTCAAAATTTGAATGTTTAATCTCGTCGTCGTACTAATCGTTGTGGCGCTGCAGTCGCAATCGAGTTTTACAGATTTAATGCCATGATATAATTTCACTCCGGATTCAGCTATCGAGTTTCGAAATGATGCTTACCGAATAACACTACTGGAAAGGAAAGGGCGGCCTATTCTATATCGGGGCCATACGGCCAATTAATTAACAATTCATTTTCGTTTATACAATTAAAATCCGTTATGGGCTGTAGTTATAAGACGATTAGTATGTAAGTTATTTTTTCTAAAGTTGTGGTTTTTTGTACATATTATATAAATAAATAAATATACATAATCGTCCATTTTAAGTTTAACAGTCGTTAGTTTTACTCGCGACTTTGTCCGCGTGACCAGGAATATTTCGATACACCGGTATTTTTTTTTTACAACGCAGGTGGCAAACGAGCATGCGGCTCACCTGGTGGTAAGTAACTACCGCCGCCCATGATCACCCACAACACCAGCGGCATTGCAGGTGTGCTGGTATATAATAGACCGGTATATAAAGAAACCTATATCCTTCTATATCCCAAACACTGTGTTTTACATAATTTCAAGACGATTGATTGAGCTGTAAAGAACCTAAGAGGCAACAAACAAACTTGCTTTCACATTTACAATATTAGGAAGGACTTTACGTCTGTTCAATGACGGTTCAGCAGGAAAATATTTCATCAATAATAATTTCATGAAATCACCATCTCAATACAATAATATTTGTGGTGTAAGTGTAGCCAATGTAGGCGGAAACGATTTTCCTCAATCGGGTTCAGAGGGTAAAAGTAAGTTGTGCATAAATGAATTGTGTTGTTAATAATATTTATACCTACTTGTGTCGAGACGTTTAAGAATTGAATATATATATATATATATATATATATATATATATATATATATATATATATATATATATATATATATATATATATATATATATATATATATATATATATATATATATATATATATATATATAGGTTTAAAATATATGGCATATAAGTTTTCAGTACAAACATCAATAGCAATGGAGTTTGGTAGCCCCATTGCTAGCAATGTGTCCTATTAGGTCAATCTCCACGTATTTCGAATCAATTCTTGTTGAATTCGTCACGATGGTCTAACTGACCTACTTCATCCTCACCTATCATCCTTCACTGGTGCCCCGCCGGTGTATCGCGATAGCGCGGGTGGGGTTACCATTCCATTATCACCCATAAAAAAACATCATTATATCAGCCTTAACTGTCCACTGTTGATCAGAGGCCTCCCACATAAGGGGGGGGGAGGTTCCCAAAAGTTGCTACGCTTGGCAGGCAAGTCGGCAACCGTAATTAGGCCTTTGGTGATGTTCTGAAAGGGACGCTGCTAACCATCCATCGACCATTAAGTTCCCTTAGTCGCCTCTAAAAACACTCGCGGGAGAGGAAGGGTTGGCCCATTGTATGTCGGGATCACATGGAAAACATCAGAAACTACATATATTATTCATCGTCCTCATCATGAACATCATAATCACACAGCAGTCCAATGCAAGACATACGCTTCTCCCAAGGCACACCACTGAGCATTAGGCTTCATCTCTTAATTATTTTTTTGTTATTATTTATTATTTAAAATCCACTAAATGCTTGTAAAGTAACAGAGATGGGGTTTTAAAGTACAATTACATTCGAGAATAACTTAAAAATAATGTACAAAATGTACGTGATGCAGTGGAGCAACGAAACAAGCTCTTAGAACGCTTGTAAAGTAACAAAGATGGGCTTCTTAAGGTACGGTCACACTAGAGAATGACTCAAGAACAACGTACAAAATGTACGCGATGCAGTGGAGCAACGAAATAAGCTCTTAGAACGCTTGCAACGCAACAAAGATGCCTTTTTAAAAACATAGTTATACACGAAATAACACTAGAAGATAATGTATAAAATGTACGCGATGCAATGAAGTAATGAAACAAGGTCTTAGAACGCTTGTAAAGTAACAGAGAAAAGTTTTTTTAAGGTGCAGTTATACAATGTACGGTATGCAATGAAGCAATGAAACAAGCTCTTTGAACGCTTGTAAAGTGACAGAGATGGGTTTCTTAAGGTGCAGTCACACTTAAGAATAATTTAGAAGCAATGTTCAAAATATACACGATGCGATGGAGCAACGAAACAAGTTTTTAGAACGATTGTAAAGTAACAAAGATGGGTTTCTTAAGGCGCAGTTACAGTTGAAAATAACTCGACAACAACGTACAAAATGTACCTGATGCTGTGAAGCAACGAAACAAGCTCTTAGAGCGCTTGTAAAGTACGTACTCAGCACGTTTATACAGAACACAGATTGAAGGAGTTGGTAAAGAGCGAAAATTCGCTCCCTGAGTCCAACTACAAACATTCTTTTCCATTTTTGTTTTTCTTCACCGTGACTAAATATATATGCATGAAAGTGTTTATACATATAAAGTACCTGGAAAAGTGAAAACGAATTTATTTATGATGGAATATTGCTATTAGTTGTATAGTAACTTTTAATATAAGTTTTGCTTTGGAAGTTACTGTAAAATTCAGTGCATTGATAAATCTTAAATTTAACTAATAAATCTTAGGATTTGCAAAAATAAGGTAATAAATTTATTTATTAATTTAAACTCCAATGCACAATTATGTAATATATGTAAGTGAGTGTACATAAGGCGGATTTAACACCTAATGGCGTTCTCTACCAGTCAACCATGAGCCAAACAGAAAATGAAGTAGTCGGTGCATTTAAGTGAATTGCACGTTTTTGTAATACAAATACTTTGGATGTCGGCTGATTTACCCCATAATAATATTCTATAGGTCAGTATACTATGAAAGTAACTAAAATGAACTAATCTGACAGTCTCAATATTAGTTTACTGTTTAACTTTGTGTACAGCATACGCCGCAAAACTTAGTTGCAAGGTTTTAAATGTGAGGACCTGACTGAGTTTTATTATAAACAGTGATTCCAAGAAAGACAGAATTTTATATTCTATCAAGACGTTTGTTACTTAATTTTACAATAGAATTGGAATTATGATTTTTAGAAAGAGAAAAATTTATGCATTTTGTTTTTTAGCGTTCAACATTATATTATTAGCTGTAAACCAATGCAAGAGATGCACCGAAGCACTATTTACATCGTCACAATTTTGGGTCAATCTGTCAACATTAAAAATAAAAGAAGTATCATATGTGAATAACACTATGCCACGTCTATCCTGCATGGCAAAAGCTAGATCATTATATATATAATTATGCAGATAATAACATACTTAAATAACATAATTTATAAGCGAAGAAGTGAGTAGAGTTGTTTAGATGCATATCAGAAGAGCACATTGTATAAAAGTCGTCTGCTTGGGTACCGCTATCCCGTTAATGTTTTGGCCTCATAGCAATTGTGTTTGAATAGCTTTGTTTCAGTTTTATGGGTGAGATATGACAATAAAATTATAGGGTACGGAGGCATAACACATTATTCTACTTTATTAGGAATGGCAACTCATGAGGAGTATCATGGGAGACACAGCATACTCTGTTATGTTCAGGATACTATTCATATCTATAGGCGACGGTTATGAATTTACATTACATTGTTTGACATTTTAAGTTATAAAAAGAAGGTAACGGTAGTAGTATGAATACTCATCTATTATTTAAAATAGGACTGTAAAAAGCTAAGTACGTATCTATTTGTTCTATAAAGCTAAAATTTGTTAGAGCAATTTCTTACGAGCTTTAGAAATTTTCATAACTCTCATCGAAATGGGAAATAATGGGCACCGCGCGAGACAAATAGCGGCAATGAGCCCAGAATCTAATAAAACATAATACTTAAATCTTTATTTATAATTTTATTTATACGTTTTTATTTTTAACCTATGTTTCTACATACGAATACTTTCAGCAATACGCAAGCGTTTATAAGTTAACAAAACCATATCAGCACTCAGAGGTACTCAATGCGCAACAGGCGCGGGCATGTTGGGGCGCGGGGGACAGAGGGTGATTGTTTCCCGCCCGGAGACTTGCCGCCCTTCATCACACCAGCGCCGGCAGCCGCCTCCATCGGACGTCTTCGAAGCCTGGAAAATCTGCGAAAACTTAACAAACTCACTGACTTACTGACAACTATGAATCTGTTGCACTTCCACCCTAACCGTATTTAATTTTTTTTTTCTGCGCTGGATGAATTAATCTCTCACATTGCTATTGGGACTTAGTCCGTAGGCCTTCGGGCCTATTAACGCGCGTGTTTTTCAAAATCATACGAAATGTCTCTTATAGTGAAATTGAATCGCTTCAAAGTTCTCCAATGTAAAAACGAGAAGTACGCACGTCTGGATTTCAGAGGTAAGTGTAAAATAGTAGGGTTAATTTTTAATGAATGCTCTACGTAACGCGAACTGTGAGTTGATTTCTACGCGAATAGTGTTTTTTTTTTCGACAACTTTTTTAATGCCCTATTTTTGATTGTTAAATATTAGGATCTTTTGTTCTAACTGTTATTGCAACATATTTTGAGAAACATTATCTCAGAAGATGTTGTAATTTAATATTCATGCGTTTAAATATTAATTAGAAGAGCACATTAGGTAAGTATTATCCTTATAAGATGTAAAATATAATGTCATACATGCGTTTTGTTTTTTATGCTGGCGTTTCAAATTTGATTCTTTTGCAAATTGCAATCTTACTTATATATACATATAACCAAGTTTGCATAAGTAATGAGTAAAAAAAGTCTTAAGTCTAGAACGTGAATTTAAAATACATTTCGGTATTATTAATAAACAATGACGAATCTAAAATTTTCTTATTTGTTGTTCTATAAAAAAATTAATAACTTGGTGCATAAATTCCTCTCCATTAATTAAAAGATATTGTATAATATTCTAAAAACGATATTTTATTACGTATGATTAATAATTTATGTCTAAAAAAGGTCTCTATATATCTCGGTAGCATTAGGCGTAGCAATTTTTAGCTTAAAAATAAAAAATAATAAAAAGCAACAAATGAAGTATACACAATACAATCGGATTGAAAACCGCAACCATTTTGTGGTCTGTTAACAATATAATTCTATGATTTGTATTATGTTGATTGGCCGTATAAGGCTAATTTCAAAATTAGGCATGGATAATGTCGGTACCTCTATAGATTAGCTTTCTTTGAACATTGATGACAGAAAAAAAGTCATTGTCCATTTCAATATCTCTTATATCAGTCGTACATCTATATTACTCGTAATTTGAATCGAGTTCTTCATGTTAGTATTATATATTATATATACCGATATTTAATATGTCTATTTATAGACCAATATATATATATTATTTAACAATATATATATATATATATATATATATATATATATATATATATATATATATATATATATATATATATGATACTTGATGCGGAGGCGACCGAGATAGGGGTATTTAAACTTGAAAAGAAATTTTCCGTATATAATTTACCAGAGGGAGCCTTTGTACAAAAGTCGTTTGCTTGGGCACCTCACCTTGCCCAATTCGGTTTGAAGGGTGAGATATGACAGTGAATTTACAGGGTATAGAGGAATAACACCTGAGTCCTCAGAAATGGTATTATGGGCCAAACAGTATACTCTGTTATGTCCTTGATACTGCTCATGTCCATAGGTGACGGTTACCAATTTTCATCAGGTGGGTCGACAGCATGTTTGCCATTCTAAGTTGTATAAAAAAATATTTAACTAATTTATCGGGCGCATGGCAACACCATGGCGATTCGACTTGTGTGGAGCGGTGATAAGGTTCGATATGAAGTATCGCTAACTTCAAAATTTATGAGTGATTTTTTAGTGATGTTGGATAAATATCCTAAAAGGGGGAATTTTTTGACATTAAGGGGGCGCTTTAAGGACTTTTGAGGGATTTTCTAACTAGCGCTAGTGCTAGTTGTTTTAAATGTAAGGTCGACGTACGAAGGAAATATCTAGGGAAAAATACGAAAATTTGAAAATTCAAGATGGCAGTTTAGCTGTGGGTAGTTAAATAAAAAAAAAATCCGGATATTTAAAGCATATTTTTGGGGAAGCTTGGCATCAACATAGCTATTCACATTCACCTTCTATGGAGTGGTGATAGGGTTCGGAACTATGTATTGTTAACATTAAAAAAAATCCTGATTTTTGGGTAATGTTGGAAAAATATAGCCCAAAAACTTTAAACTGTCCCAATTTTGGACATTTTACAAATTTTCCGAAATTTACACAAATTTTATCAAAAATTATAATTACAATTATTTAAATTAACTAACCCCATAGTAAGAAAAAAAAACGATATCCAAAATAGAATATAAATGAACTATTCACAAAGTGCTCTTAAAAAAAACTAAATTCGATTATCAAACATATTCAAATATCCATCGAATGACGGACAGACGGACTGTTCAGATCTTTCCGTTATGTTATGGAACTTATGGAAATATGAGGACAAGACTCAACGACCTCTGTAGTACAGTAGTAGACGTATCGCAGTCCATAAGTGGTCTGGGTTCTATTTTTGGTCGGCTAGATTTTAGAAACGAATTTTAGAATTAGCTTTGTTCTAGGTTTTCTGAGTTCTGCTCTTAGATGTTTGCTCCTTGTTTGATTTATCTTATTGATTTGGGTACAACTGTGTGACACTATTCAAAATATTGCTTTTTTTAAGAAATAAAAAATTCTTTGAACGCTGTCCCTGTCATCAATAATTGCATCATTCTGATAATTTCTGTCACCAAGCGACTGTATTCGCATAGTAGTATTCCGATTTGAAAGATAGGATACCGTATTTAAATTTCAGGTTACAAAGATTTTTTATTGTATCATTTCTAATTTGTTATCATTGCTGAGAACTAAAATGTCATATCTTTGTACTCTGAAATTTAGGTATAGTTTCCCACATTTTAGTTCTCAGTAATGGTAATACATTAGAAATGATACAATAAAAACAGTTTGAGATGAGTAGGTACATTATTATTTGTTTCGAGTTCATTTCTTTTTTTTTTCTTTTATTTGGCTAAATAAACAGTGGCAAAATAAAGAAACATACATAATATTAATAAAAAAAAACATTGAGTAAATTTGCCAGCAACACCATTTACCACAGTTTCAGTTTCTTTGATCGGGAATTGTTAGCCTCAAGACGCGAGACTTTTTTTTTTATACAACTTAGAATGGCAAACAAGATGACGGCCAACTTACTACCTCTTGACTATTATTATGCTAATGATTATTCACAAGACGTGCAAATAGTGTTAGGGCGCAACGCGGTTAAGAAATACTTCAGAAATTTCTTAGCAGAAATAAATTGGACGGTAACGAGACAGTAGATAATATTGCTTCAGGTTATTTCAGCTCGTATTACTTTATCTGAGATAAGCCGAAAGATGTAGTTTGTTTAATATGGCATCTGAAAATATAGTAGAGAAGTTTTTGATCTCATCTGTTCCTTTATTTATTGCATACTAGCGACCTGCCCCGGCTTCGCACCAGTAGTAGAGAATATATCTTTACATTTATTACATCATCTTATTTTGTCAAGTACGAATTAGACAGGCATAGTAAGCTATCTTTAAAATAGACGATAGCATTATGTTAAAAATGCTAGTAATGCAATATTAAAAAAAAAAAACTACATTTTGCGGTATTTCTTCGACATTGCCCGAAAATCGGGGAAAGTAATGCTAAAAATATTTCGTACCGGATCCCATCACAACCAAATAAAAGCTAAATGTAACCTTAATCCATGTATATTACCACATTTATATAACATAATTTATAAGAGAAGTGAGTAGTTGTGCTAGCAGTATCAATATTTATCTATTGTTTAAATTCGAAAATTCAGAAGTACGAGTATCTTCCAAGTACGTGCCTACTTGATCTACAAAGCTACAATTTCTTAGAACGATTCCTTGTAGGCTTTAGAAATGGAAAATACAGGTCGCTGCGCGGGAAAAATAGTGACAAGAAGCCCGTGTCTTAATAAAACATAATACGTAATTGAATTTATAATCTTAACTTACAATTTTAGTTATACGTCTTTTTATCTGTGTAAAAAGAATGCTTCTAAAGATCGGTTTACGCGACTTTACCAGAGGGAGACTTTGTACAAAAGTCATTTGCTTGGGTACATTTGTGCCATTCGTGTTTCTACCGTGAAGCAGTTTTTTTTTTAATGGATGATAATGGAAACGCTATCGGTATACACTGGCGGGGCACCAGTGAGAGATGAATGGTGAGGATGAAAATGTAGGTCAGTTAGCTTGTCAACGATAAATTAGTCACGATGGTTTCCAGAGGGAACCGCGTGGAGGTCGACCTGATAGGGTATATTGATAGCAATGGGGACTAACCTCCTATTACTAACAATCCCTTCCCCCCACCGTGAAACAGTTGTGTTTGCATTGCTATGTTTCGGTTCGAAGGGTGGACAGTGAATTTACAGGGTACAGAGGCATAACACCTTAGTACTCGGGAATGGCGACGCATGACAGGGTATAATGGGTGAAACAGTATACTTTGTTATGTTCACGGTACTGTTCGTGTCTATCGGCGACGGTTATTACTTGTGCCATTCTAAGTTGCATAAAAATACGCGAGTGTTTATAAGTTAACAAAACTATATCGGCATTAGGATACATTACCCGAGGTGTTTAATGCGCAACAGGCGCGGGCATGTTGGAGCACGGGGGAGAGAGAGGGGTTGTTTCCCGTCCGAAGACTTGTCGCCCTTCATCATACCATCGCTGACAGCCGCCTATATCGGACGTCTTCGAACTCTGGAAAATCTGCGGAAACTTAACAAACTCACTGACTTACTGACAACTATCCGTTGCATTTCCTCCCTAATCGTATATAATTTTTTTTTCTGCGCTGGATGAACTAATCTCTCACATTGCTATTGGGACTTAGTCCGTAGGCCTTCGGGCCTATTTCCGCGCGTGTTTTTCAAAATCATACGAAATGTCACTTATAGTGAAATTGAATCGCTTCAAAATTCTTCAATTTAAAAACGAGAAGTACGCACGTTTGGAGTTCAGAGGTAAGTGTAAAATAGTAGAATTAATTTTTAATGAACGCTCTACGTAACGCGAACTGTGATTTGATTTCTACGCGAATAGTATTTTTTTTTGTTTTAACTTTCTTAATATACTATTTGTTATTGTTAAATATAATGTTATTTATTTATTGCGCCTTGCTGTTCTTGCTGGCGTTTCAATTTCATTTCTTTTACAAATTACAAACTATGAATATAAACAAGTTTGCATAATTAACGAACAAAAAAAAAGTATTCGCGTCGCGGTAAGTCCCGATCGACAATTTGAAAATACGAGTATGTTTCGGTATTGTTACTATACAATAGAAACTTTAGAATTTTATCCATTGTTTTATAAAAATAATAAATCATTTGGTGCATAAATATCCGTCCATTAAAAATAAAACATAAAATAAAAATAATATTATGATTCTTATTAAGTTATTTATTATTATTATTGTTGGCCGTGTAAATGTAACTTTATAATAACAAAATAGAGGTTTGATGCTGCGTGGACCTAGATAGGCCTGCGGATAATAATTTTTTTTTTTTACTGAGGTAGATAACCCCTTTAAAAAATCAAAGAAATAGTCTAAGTATTCGGTTAAGTACATTTCCAAAGTAATCTGTCATTGAATATTTTAATATTTTAAATCAACATCTCTAAATAAATGAAAAACGACTTCCGTATTGAAAAATGGTAAAGATAATTAAGAAGCTTTCAGCATCTCTTTTTTTTCAAGATCTGATTAACGCACTATTTTTAAAATCAGCAACCCTAAATCAGTTGATAATGACACCCATATTGAAAAAAAAAGAAAATATAGTACTACGGCCATCTTTTTTTTTAATTTTAATACACCCTATTTTTTTTAAATTAGATAACCCAAGTTAGTCATATATATATATATATATATATATATATATATATATATATATATATATATATATATATATATATATATATATATATATATATATATATATATATATATGACACTCATATCGGAAACATGGAAATATTTGATATCCCCCTTCTTTTTTTTTAAACTTAAAAAAACAATTTTTAATTAGTCGGATATGACATCCATATAGATAAATGATCATTTTAAATATCCGCCGTCTACTTCTTTTTTCCAAACACAAATAGGAATCTTGATTTTTTAATTCCGTAACGCTAAATCAGTCGAAAATGACACCTGTATAGACAAAAAATCGTTAGTCGCTATCTCCTTTTTTTAAATATTCCAAACTCGCAAAAGTTTAATAATTTATAGTAAACTAGTTGATCCGGCAAACGTTGTTCTGCCGTGTAAATTAGGGATGGGACAACCTAATCACTTAGCGGTATGAAATATATTTTATGACTTATTTATATAGCTAACAAATATACATAAAAAAAATATAGAAATCGATCGAACCTTTTCGGAGGATTGCAACTGCAAACATTGTGACACGAGTTTTTTATATATATAGATTAGTTGAAAATGACATACTTGCAGACTTTAGAAATGGGCAATTCTAAGCACCGTGCGAGAAAAATAAGGGCAAGATAGATCGTGTCTTAATAAAATTTAATATCTAATTCAATTTATAATGTTAAACATCATTATAATTTGCTTTTTTTTTTATTTTAACCCGTGTAGAAGGAACACTTTTAGAGTTTGGTTTACGCGAGCGTTTATAAATTAACAAAACTATATCGGCTGCAGGATATCTTACACGAGATATTTAATGCGCAATAGGCGCGGGCATGTTGGGACACGAGGGAGAGAGGGGGATTGTTTCCCGCCCGAAAGTTTCCCCACCCTTCATTACACCAGCGCTGACAGCCGTCTATATCGGTCTTCTTCGAAGCTTCAAAATTCAAAATCTGCAGAAACTTAACAAACTTACTAACAGCTATCTATCTGTTGCGTTTCCTTCCTAATCGTATTTTTTTTGCGTTGGTTGAATTAGTCTAACCCGTTGTTATTGGGACTTAATGCGTAGGCCTTCGGGCCTATACCCGCGCGTGTTTTTCAAAATAATGTCTCTATTGGTGAGACTGAATAGCTTCAAAATTCTCAAATGTGGGAACGAGAAGTACGCACGTCTGGAGTTCAGAGGTAAGTGTAAAATAGTAAAGTTAACTTTTAATGAACGTCCTACGTAACGCGAACTGTGAGTTGATTTCCACGCAATTTTTCTTATAGTTAAATATTATATTAAATACAACTTTATTTATTTAATACGCTTTGCTTTTTATGCTGGCGTTTCAATTACGATTCTTTTTCAAATTGCAAACTTACTTTTATATTATATAAATATAAGCAAATTTGCATAATTAATAAATAAAAAAGAAAAGGTATTCGCGTCGCGGCAAGTCCCGATCGAGAATTTAAAATATGTTTCGGTTTGTTAATAAACAATGAAAAGTTTAAAATTGTATTGTTTTATAAAAATAATGGATAATTTGGTGCGTAAATACCCCGTCAATAAATAAAAAAATATTCTATAATATAGTAATAACACGATAATTCACAAAATACGATTTATGATTTTTTTTATAAATAAAAATAAAATAATGCAATGATTTGTACTATGTTGTTTGGCCTTATAAGGCTAATTTTATAATATAAATACATACTTTGGTGAGTGGTGCTCAAAAATGTCCAAAACAGTGAAACCTGTCTCACCTCGCATTAATAGTTGCTGAAATACAACGCTATGACATACGAACAGGCAGACGGACAAAATAGCACCATAAAAGTTCCTTTGACCATTTTTAGTACGGAATCCTAAAGTTGGCCAATCTTATGTACAAACTTTGGCCAAGTTTGTTTCAATTTAGTTAAGTTTGGCCAAATTTAATCATGTTTCCCAAGTGAAATATGGTTTCGTTTATTATTATTTTTTCAGCTTAACTTTTAATTTATTATCTACCGCTGCATGGGCCTCGATAGACCTGTGGGTCGTTGTCTTTGCTTTTTTGTTAGGCGAAAGGTGATCTTTTCAAATATAGTACTCGGTCGACTCATACACCAAGCAATTACCAATTTCCAAAAATATTATAATTTCTCAACTCGACATCCGTAAATTAATTGAAAACGATAGGTCGGCCGCAATTTTGAATTTTCATAATTTTCCCTAGAGTCCAGATTTTTCCTTCATTCTAATATTCCCACTTTTTGGCGTCTTTTTCCGACATTACCCGAAAATTGGAAAAAATTTTTGATGCTAGTAATATTTCGTACCAAATCCCATCACAGCTACGTAAAAGTTTATTATATATCACCTTAATCTATGTATATTAACATACTTATAAAACATAATTTAAGATAAAAAAAAACTGAGTAGAGTAGAATCATTTAAATTGTGGTAGTAGTATCAATAATTGTTAATCCACTGTTCAAAATAAAAATTTCATAAGCCAAGTACATACTTACTTAATTTACAAAGCAAAAATAAATTTTATAGAACGAATCATTAGGGGCTTTAGAAATAGGAAATACAGCGGATTGCGCGAGGAAAACAGCGGCAATAAACCCGTGTCTAATAAAACTTACCATCTAGTTCCATATATAATATTAAACTGATTTATATATTTTATATTTTAACTCCTGTAGAAGGAAGACTTTTAGAGATCGGTTTACGCGAGCGTTTAAAAGTTAACAAAATTATATCAGCTGCAGGATATCTTACACGAGATATTTAATGCGCAACAGGCGCGGGCATGTTGGGGCGCAGGGGAGAGAAGGGGACTGTTTCCCGCTCGGAGGTTTGCCCGTCCTTCATCACACTAGCGCTGGTACCCGCCTATGTCGGACGTCTGGAAAATTTGTGCAAACTTAACAAACTCACTGACTTATTGACAATTATCTGTTGCATTTCCTCCCTAACCATATTTAATTTTTTTTTGCGCTGGATGAATTAGTCTATCACGTTATTGGGGGTTAGTCCGTAGGCCTGCGGGCCTATTTTCGCGCGTGTTTTTCAAAATAATACAAAATGTCTTTATTAGTGAAACTGAATAGCTTCAAAATACTCAAATTTAAAAACGAGAAGTACGTATGTCTAGAGTTCAGAGATAAGTGTAAAATAATAGAGTAGAGTGTAGAAGGAACACTTTTAGAGTTTGGTTTAAGCGAGCGATTATAAGTTAACAAAATTATATCAGCTGCAGGATATCTTACACGAGATATTTAATGCGCAACAGGCGCGGGCATGTTGGGGCGCAGGGGAGAGAAGGGGACTGTTTCCCGCTCGGAGGTTTGCCCGTCCTTCATCACACTAGCGCTGGTACCCGCCTATGTCGGACGTCTGGAAAATTTGTGCAAACTTAACAAACTCACTGACTTATTGACAATTATCTGTTGCATTTCCTCCCTAACCATATTTAATTTTTTTTTGCGCTGGATGAATTAGTCTATCACGTTATTGGGGGTTAGTCCGTAGGCCTGCGGGCCTATTTTCGCGCGTGTTTTTCAAAATAATACAAAATGTCTTTATTAGTGAAACTGAATAGCTTCAAAATACTCAAATTTAAAAACGAGAAGTACGTATGTCTAGAGTTCAGAGATAAGTGTAAAATAATAGAGTAGAGTGTAGAAGGAACACTTTTAGAGTTTGGTTTAAGCGAGCGATTATAAGTTAACAAAACTATATCAGCTGCAGGATACTTTACACGAAATATTTAATGCGCAACAGGCGCGGGCATGTTGGGGCGCAGGGGAGAGAAGGGGACTGTTTCCCGCTCGGAGACGTGCCCGCCCTTCATCACACCAGCGCTGGCAGCCGCCTATATCGAACGTCTTCGAAGCCTGGAAAATCTACGAAAACTTAACAAATTCACTGACTTACTGACAACTATCCGTTGCATTTCCTCCCTAATCGTATTTAATTTTTTTTTGCGCTAAATGAATTAGTCTCACACGTTGTTATTGGGACTTAGTTCGTAGGCCTTCGGGCCTATTTCCGCGCGTGTTTTTCAAAATAATACGAAATGTCTCTATTGGTGAAACTGAATAGCTTCAAAATTCTCAAATGTGGGAACGAGAAATACGCACGTCTGGAGTTTAGAGGTAAGTGTAAAATAGTAGAATTAATTTTTAATGAACGCTCTACGTAACGCGAACTGTGAGTTGTATTCTACGCGACTATTCTTAATGTTAAATGTTATGTTAAATATAACGTTATTGTTTACTGCGCTTTGTTTTTTATGCTGGCGTTTTAACTTCGATTCTTTTACAAGTTGCAATCTTACTTATACATTATACAAATATAAGCAAATTTGCATAATTAATGAACGAAAAATAAAAGTATTCACGTCGCGGTAAGTCCCGATCGAGAATTTAAAATATGTTTCGGTTTGTTAATAAACAATGGAAAGTTTAAAATTTTATCTTTTTTATATAAAGATAATTTGGTGCATAAATATCCGTCCAATAAATAAAAAATATTACATAATATTCTAAAAACAATATTTAATAACGTATAACTTATGATTTTTTTAAGATAAAAAAAATTCATACGATGTTTCGTATTAAGTCGATTGGCTATGTAAGCATAATTTTATAATACAAAGAGGCACGTGTCTTATTATGCCCATAAAAGAAGGAACGAGACCCGATGAGAACACGGCCGATCTAGGGGTACTTACATTTCGAAAAAAATTTCGGATATTTTAGCTCAGTTTTGGGGCGCGTAGCAACATATAGCTATTTGACTTTTATAGAGCGTTCGGTATGAAGTATTGCGAACATTAAAAAATTTTCACCGATTTTCGGGTAATGTCGGAAACTTTTGTGAAAAAGTGAGAATTTTTTGATGTTTTAAATAAACGAGTAAGTGATTTTATAGAAAACCACTCCTTTAAAGATTTTTTTAAGGATTTTTTCAAAATTACCTAGCTACACCCAAACAATGGGCGCAGAAATCAGGGTCTTATTTCAAAAAATGGAATTCTTAAAGTGGTTGCGCAGACATGAGTAGTTTTAAATATGAGGCGTCGAATGAAAGAAGAGTCTTGACTCTAGGTAAAATTATGTAAATTTGAAAATTAAGTCGCCGGCCGAGTTAGTAGTACTTAAACTTTAACAAATTGTTCTTATATTTTTAAACTAACTTTTGTGAGCTATTCCACTTCCACGAAGCAGCGATGGGGTTCGGTACGAATTAATACTAGCATCATAAATTATTCAGATTTTAGGTAAAGTCGAAGAAATACTCAAAAAAGTTAGACTTTTTTATGTGGTTATATTGAAAACCACTTTCTCAAAGATTTTGAGGCATTTTCTCAAAATTAGTTAACAACATCTACACAGTGTGTGAAGAAAATAAAATTCTATTATAATAATTAATAAAAATATTAAATTAAATTATTTCAAAATTTAGAAATCATCGTGTTATTGAGCATGCGATAGCAGCCTTAAATGTGAAGCAACGAATATAGGAAGCATCTGGGCTCTAGGAAAATTAGAAAATGGTAGTCGTGTAAGGGTTTTCAATTAATTTGCGGATGCTGTGTTCAGAAAATAGAATATTTTAAAAAATTGGAAACTTGGTGTATTGAGTTGACCCAGGACCATATTTGTAAAGATCATCTTTCATTTAAAAAAAAACAGGGACGATGATTCGCAAGCCTTTCGACATCCGCGCGGTGCTCACGAGATTTCTAGATAATAAATTAAAATTCAAGATGACAAAAAAAGAAATAAACAAAATTAGATGTCACTTGCTGAAACATGGTCAAATTTGGCCTTAGTCAAACTAAAACAAACTTGACTAAGTTGATTCAAACTTGACTAAAATTTGTGACTAAGTTTGGTCAAGTTTGGTATAAAGTCAAGTTTGATCAAGTATGACCAAGCTTGGCCAAGTTTGTTTAAGTGTAGTTTTGATTTTTTCCTATGGAAGATATATTAAAATAAATTTGATATTACATGACCAAGTTCAGTCAACTTTGGCTTAATATGTCAGTTTGTTCAAGTTGATCTAAATTTGGTTTTGATTTCCTCATTGAAAATAAATATTATGTTGTCACATCTTGACAAAGTTTGACCAAATTTAATTAAAAATTGTCCAAAAAAAATAAAATTGTCCAAAATTTACAATTTTTTTCATTAAAACTTAAAAATAATATATTTTTTTAGATGTGTTAACTCAAAGCAATTAAAAAATATATTAAAAATTTTATAGAATATAATTCCTGAAATTGGACGATCTAAAATGTCCAAAATAATAAAATAACGCCCGTCTTATCCCGATATATGCGGATAATATTTGACGACCTTCGTAATGTAGTAATAAAAATTTCGCATTGAACAAAACGACATGGGTTCGATTATTCGTCGGTCGGGCAAATTTTGGAAATGAACATTTTGGAATTGGCTTTGTTCTTGATGTTTCTGCTTTTAGATATTTTCTATTTTCATATGTTTCTGATTTGTCTTTTTGAATTGGATACAATTGTGTAATACTACGCAAAATATTGCTTTTTTAATAACAAAAAAAAAACTCTTATAACGCAGCCCCTGTTATTAATAATTCGATTGTTCTAATGACTTCTGTTATCAAACAACAGTGTTCGCATAGTTGCGTATCGGTTAGAACCACTGGTTACGATATTTAAATTACATGGTACAGAGATATAACATTTTAGTCCTCGGCAATAATAACGCATTAGAGATGACACCATGGGCATTGAATCCATGGTGTTAACTAATGTTCTAGATAAATATATGACTGTTACGTCAAAACAGTTTGGGGTAGGTAGATATCAATATTTACTTCGAGTTCACTTCTTTGATCAAGAATCGATAGCTTCAATATGCGAAACTTACTCTCTCTTGACCATTATTATGCTAACAGTTATTCATAAGAAGTACAAATAGCGTTTAAGGTTGGCTTTTATGGCACAACACAGTTAAGAGACACCTCCGATATTCCTTAGCAGAAATAAATTGGATGGCAACAAGACAGTACATAATATTGCTGCAGGTTGTTTTGGTTCGTATTACTTTATCTGAGATATGCCGAAAGGTGTAGTTCGTTTAATATCGCATCGAGAAATAAAGTAAAGAGATTTCTTGATCTCATCTGTTTATTTATTTCATATTTGCATTATTTTCAAATCATGTTTAAATCTACTATGCTGATTTATTTCAAAGGTGCAGGTACCGCGTATACATATCATCATGTGCGGTATTGACGTCTGTCGCGTGTTGCTGGCGGTCATTATTTTCTGTCAGATGGCATAACAGTTTGTTTGCTTTTATAAGTCATAATAATAAAATAATATAAAACATATTTGTAAAAAATATCTAATTTTGATTATCCAATTACCACTTGTTTCATCCTAAGTCTGAGTTTAATTACGTTATAGTAGTACAAGAGAAGGAAAACTTGATCAACTCTATACCAAGTTGCTTGGTCACGTACTAAGGCATTGCTGAACATAGAATAAATTCGTATCGAATATAGAATAAATTCATCTTAAAAAATGACTGTTCAAAAATATTTATAAGTAAGTTTACTTGAATAAAAAATTTTTTTTTTTATAAACTGTCACTAGTCGCATCAACTGACTTTGTTTTTGATCGTGATTATTTGTAAATTTTTATCTCACACATTTTACATATTTTAAACGATACATTTTTACTTTGGTCTTGTTACTTCTTGCCCTTCGTCCCTTTATTAAATTATTCATCCACTGTCCTTTCCATTTTCTTGTAACAAGGGAAAACAATTGTTTGAGTTTTAATGTAATGTAAACATACATCATATGTGCCTGTTTTGTTTTCAAATTCGCTTTACTAAACATCACACATATTCTGCGTAACGCAAATTATATTTGAAGAGTTAATAAGTTGGAGAATGTAGGTAGGTTACAGGTAGGAAGGGAATAGGTTTTTGAATGGAAATTATGTAATAGAAATTCGTTAGAAGAATTGAAGGCCTCAATTTTTCTATTGAACTAGGTGTTATTTTTCATAATTCTAATAGAGTAACCAATGGTCTCTTAATTACGTATTTTTAAGTATCTGGAAATGGCAAACAAGCTGGTGTCTCACAAGGCTATAGACACGAAAAGCATCATGGGCATCAAGTAATACAATATGATGCTCCTGGTATGCCTTATGCTTTCTAATCCTGAATACTAAGATTTTATTTTGTAATTTCATTGTAATATCATGCTCTTTCAAATCCTAACATATCCTTCTTCTTTTTCCTGCCCTTTTCTTATATATATTTGGGGTCGGTGTAATATGTTTTCTTTTTCCGTTTATCTCTGTGTAGTCATCTCATTAGCCAGTCCCTTTCTGGCCATGTTATCCTACATAGTCCATCCATCTTTCTTATCACTATCCATATTCGTACGTAATACCTTTCTTACCACATTCTCTTCTTCCCTTCCTTGCCCAAAGCCTAAAATATCCACACGTATAAAATTACATAGTGGTAGAAATACGAGTGGGATAGAGATTCCTATTAGACGAGAGAATCAGTTATTCTAGGAGACATTCTTCGGTGCGGACTATCATCGGCATTCTTCTATTTAACGTAGGCTGTCCTTGTTGATGAATGCCTTTTAAAATGAAGACCTATGATGTGTATTGATTAATGAATAGCTGAAAATACAATGAACTCGTAGCTCTTTCAATGATGTATGAAATAAATTGTAACAATTACACGACCTTGGTATTTCGCATATATATTGTATGCAATTGTATTGTCTATTGACGTAGATAGTTCAAATTTATAAAATAGATAGAGTTATTAGTATTTCCTAGAATTCTCAACTATACTATACCTATCTATTTTATAGATATAATTTGTCTTAACCTTCTAATTATATTTTGTCAATATTGTTTAAAAAGGGGTATCATTAAAAAAATATAAGTATTTTTAACTAGATTTCCTCTACATGCCCTGTAAGAGGGCCAATGTGAAGATAAATATTGTATGTTAGGGCGATCCTCAACTATAAACAATGCACGCGTTGTGATTAAACCAGAAGGTTAGGATACCCTTTCTGAGTCTTCGTTATGAAGACCCAATTTTCCCCAGGGAGCAGAGTAGATAGTGCCAAAATTTCACCCCTACAGGGTTGAAATGGGGGATGAAAATTTGTATAAGTATTCCGTTATATTTGTAGTAGCATGTATTTGTTTTGAGGTTCTTGATTAGAAACAAAAAGTTTACAATAGTTTTTGGAAATGCTATCCCTATGAACGTTGGAAAGAAAATACGAATCTTTTAAAAATAAAAGAAATTGTGTCCTAATATAATAAGAAATGTATTTGTTACAAAATTTATTTCTTACGCCAGCTAATGAATTAGTAATAAATATGAATGGTGAATTATTAAAAGTAATTAACTATTGACTCGGTTCATTTTATGTCTCAAGTAGGTTGGTTACGTGCATGTATGGAAAAGTTTGACCAGTTGGGTAGGATACAGCTTGTGCTGCTGAGAGGGGAGCGTGTTGGAAATATTGACTCGAACGCGGCCAGATGCGGGAGATCATATGGCAGGATATAAAAATGGTGGTACGCAATGTAAACGAAATCCATGCGGACGAAATCTCAGGCAATGGTTAAATTTATAAGACAGACGGAAAAGTGATTCCCGCGAGAAACTGATATAGGTAGTAATCTAATATCTTAAAAATATATAAGGTTGTAAAATTTATTACACTCAGAAAATCCGGCTCCTGTAAAAGGATCATATTCGCAGATTTGAAATGACAATAACCAATTACTACGTACTCGAAGTTGATCGTCAAATGCTCCCGTGGGAGAGATGGGCGCTTGAGTTTTCCTTCTAAGCGTTTTTAACATCACCCTTGAGAGTTGGGTTATTTATGCACCAGGTTACAAATCTTGAATTTTCTCTTCATTGTCATTGTTTACTTTAATATCAAACGACCGTCGCTTCGACATCGAGTCTTTGTCAATTTATTATTATTTATCCTGAGGGCACGGTATGCCTCTCATTACAGAAATTGCACTGTCAATCTTACATAATTGTTATTTTTAGTAGCTTCTATACTTCGAGGAGCTGTCTGCTATTTTATATCTTACAGTCGGCTGCGAATTTTATGAGCAAACTTTAAAAAGACATCTTAACAAAAAAAACAAAGCAATTCACAAACACCTGCAGAAGCGATATAACTCATTATAGCAAAACTAAGTGCGCTTAGCAACTTCCTGCTTAGATAAGGTTGTTATCTATAAAAATGTTTGGGACAAAAACTTTTGTTGAATATTTAATTTATGATGCCCACGGCCATCTACTGTCGTACAGCTAGCTCCCCATCGACAGGGAGTTCATCCCCATACCTTAAAACCTAGATGGTCGCGGTTTCAGAGATGTTTGTTCTCACGAACGTTTAAATTATGGAATGAGCTCCTTATCGAGATTTTTTCAAGAGACTACGGCATGGGATTTCTTCGAAAAAGGGATAAAGAGGTTTCTTCAGAGTCGGTAAGACGTGCTTAATGCCTCTAATATTGCAGGCGTTCATATGCTACTGTAGCTACTTACCATCAGGTGGGCCGTATGCTTGTTTGCCACCTGTGTTATAAAAAAAATAATTTATTAAAAATAGATGAGTAGTACGGTTTTTGTTACGGTGCAATTCACAGGTAAGTGATAATTATCGAAGGCGAATAATATTCTGTAATGTTCGTGACCTTACTTAGAATTTGGGTCAAATTTTGATATCACTCTCTCTCTCACTGTATATGTCATATACATTGTTAAGGGGTGGGGGGGAATGTATTTTTTAATAAAGTACAAAATATCAAGATTATTGTGTAAAAATATGAAGTATATTGAAGTAAAACTAACGGTTGTGTACTGTAGCAAAACAAGAAGATGCCAAAAAAGCAAAGACGGCAGTTCGCTTAAAAAGGTCTGGAAGGTCTGAAGTCGTTCGCTTTCTGGAATAGTTATTAATCATTCAGTGTAAGTACGAGTATATAAAATATTTGTTTTTTGGTGTTAAAAACCTTTGAAACTTTTAACGCTTCATCTCACACTTAACTTTTTCAGAGTCAGTGCCCTTTATAAATCAATTGCCTTGACTCATTTGAAATACATATTCTTTCTTTCTACATAAAGAACGAGATAATGCCTTTAATATTTTTACTTCCTTTTCATTTTAATGTATTTGAAATAAACAAAGCTTTTAATTTTTTTTTTGATATCGCTATTTTGAGTTTTAAGTATTTAAAAAAAATCTAATAATAAAAACGCTCCTGACAGGATTATCTTCAGAAGGTTATTAACTATAATTAAATCATTTTAGTATTTTGATTTCAGATGGTCCAGTTATGAGTGGTATCGCATTGAATCAAGTTTCGAGACATCTGCAGACATTTTGTGTCCATTATATTTCTTGATATTTAATAATGAAAATTTTATGGAATATTCATTAAATATGATCTCTATTATACTGTAATTGTAAATATAAATATATATCATCAACGTTTTAATAAAAAATAGCGAAAATATGCTTTTTAATATCGAATAAACCTTCCCTCATTTTTTCAAAGCTATGGTGTATAGGTAATAAAAGATAATACACAGCCAGGATACTTTTAAATCATATAAATCTTTGAACTACGGTTTGAGTGTTTCAGTATTTCAAGTCTCCTTCTGGCAAGCTGTGTGCTAAGACTTACATGTTCACTCTATGATGTTAAGCTGTTTGTGTGTAATTCTCCTGTTATGTTGATAGATCTCCGATTTCGTAATGCTTTGTCGCGTAGATAGGTGTTTGCTGTGCTTGATGTCATTTGAGAGCGTTCATTATTTTAGCTTGATGAAGTGTGACAACGTTTTAATTGTCTGATAATTTACAAGAAACAATTTAATAATTTTCTGTTTTTCTGATTGATTATTTAAACCGTGCTGTGACAGAAAATTAAAAAATTAAAGATAAAATACTGTCCGTATACCTAATAGCCTACTATTACCTAGACATTTAGTCTATGAATGATAATGAAATGATTTTTAAGGTTGAAGAATATTATATATATATATATATATATATATATATATATATATATATATATATATATATATATATATATATATATATATATATATATATATATATATATATATATATATATATATATATATATATATATATATATATATATTATGATTGATTACAAACTAAGCCACTAATAGGTTTTTGCTAACTAATATGTTAAAAACAGGAGTTAATAAAAATGAAAGGAATGAAAAATATTTGAATGAAATACATAGTAAAAATTAAATGTAAATACTTGTCTAAAATGTCTTTTTATCAATACAATATATACTTAAACGGTTACTTTTTATGACACCTACAAAGGCAAACAAGCTAACGGCCCATCTGATGGAAAGTGGTAACTATCGCAAATGACGTTGAATAGACATTGAAGGGCGTTACTAGTTCCCATTCCTAAGTAATATACCCTATCAGGTTGACCCTCTCGCGTTTCTCCCTGGAAACCGTTGTGGTTAATGCCTACTGAATTCGTCACGACAGGCCTACTGATAGGATTTCGTCATCGTTTCATTCTCTAATGACGCCTTCCTATTGTATACGATTATCATGAATGATTGATTCATTGCATCTTCATACATTAAAAAATAAATCCTCCATTTATGGGCATCTCCTAATCCTATACGTGGGTAATGGGTTATTATGGTATGCACGATGCATAATCCGTGACATTCACCGTTGAGTTCACGTTTAACTAAACGTTGAATTTTGTCGTCCACAGACAAGAGTCCTTCATTTGCCCACTCTGTGATTACTAACAATTATTTCTAACTAGCTGCAACCGGCAGTAAAATTCCTTTGTGAATTATTGTAAAATGTGTAATCTAGAATTATGTTCTTTCAGTAACAAACTATAATATCAAAAATTTGTTGTAACGAACGAACAAGCCGATTGAATAACATACACATTTACAGACTTTCGCATTTATATTGCTATTCTGTCCGGCGGCTTTATCCATATGAAAATACATATTGGAAATAAAAGTATCTTATGTATTAAGCTAAGATAAAATATACCGATCTTTTAGATCTAAGGTCGTGTTAAATATCTAATTTATTGACTTTATTTCATTATCATCATGTCCTAGTACTATATTATTTTAGCTTATAGGCAGAAATAATATTTGGCCGCCATCCAAAACTTTGGATGTCAATTTAAATTCCCAATTGACTTCTCAGTGAAGGGAAACACCATGAGGAAACCAAAATACGCACACTTATCACCTCTGGTGTTGCAGGCGTCCGTAGACTACAATTATCGTTTACCGTCAAACGGGTTATGTGCTTGTTTGCCACTTTTGTTTTATATATTGTATAAAAAAATGAAATAACGGCAGTAGGCTCATTGTCTATCAAGTGCGATTTTAAAATATTCGAAATAGTAGGGGCATGTAGGCTGTTATCCTCACCACAACGACAAGTGAATTTAAATGCCTCTAACCTTACTACCTACCTTACTTACTTTACTAGGACTTATAGACATTAACATTTTTTTCTCACTAGCATACTGTTTCATACGATGTTATAAAATGAAGTTTGTGAATGCAGTATTATGTACGTTTATAAATTAAAGTTAAAAAAAGAAATGCAGTTACTAAGTCTATAAATACTCTCTTTATTAAAATAAAGTTACATGTAACACAAGTATAGTAAAATATTACGGCTAAAGTTTTTTTATTTATCGAAATGTTAACAATTTCAAAGAAAATTAAATTTATATAAGATAAAGTTAAGAAACAACTTGCCAAGTTTGAGCTGCAAATTAATACGTAGGCCAGAATGGCGGACCTTTTTATGAAAGATATAAATTTTGTTTATTTTAATCCAGATGTAAATTATAATTTTGGGGCTCTATTGTCAGTGGCAAAAAAGGAACTCTTATTTGCTTTGCCCATCCATCAGTATCACTATATAATTTATTATAAAACGAAGTCCCCCGCCGCGACTGTTCGTTTATATATTCGCTATTATTTCAAAAATTACTAAACCGATTTTCATGCGATATTCATTTATAAACTAAGCGATTTTTGAGATAGGTTTAGATGTATAATTCGATAAGGTTTTGTCTAAATTGATTGATATATAATGATAATTGTTGAAAATATCTAAAAAATCAAACTGTCTAAGAGCTGTCATTGAAGACGCTGCCTAATCCATTTAAGATATAACAAAATAATATATAGTGGGATTATTTCTCTTTTATAGATCTACAAAAAGTCTATGATGCATTTGTCAGTATTTTAAGTGTAGCCTACTGTACCCATTGTGGTATCTACAAAAGCTATTTAGACGGATAAAGTATCACAAGGTGCCAGCAGAAAATCAGGGCTACAGGTACTCCGCAGCTTAATGTTGAATCGGTTACCTTTTTGTTTCGTTTATAAATTCATGAATTATGTATTTTTAATGGTGAATAAATGATGTATCTACTCGTATCTATCTATTTAATCATTATCAAATTAAATACGTTAATTGCTATAAGCACATGCACACATTTTAAAAGCCCTTTGCCTTGTGGCGTTTGGTCTCGGCATAGAATGAGCCACTGCATCCTTTCCCGTGACAGTCGTAAGAGGTGACTAAAGAAACTTAATGGCAGAGATATGGGCAGTAGAGTCCTTCTTAGAATATCACCAAAGCCTAACTGCGGTAGCCAATCCTCATGCCAAGCGCGGCGATTACTGACAAAAACCCTCTTTTGGGGGAGGCCTGTGTTCAACAGTGTAAAGTGGATAGCTGATATGATAATGATAATAGCCCTTTATACCATACAAAAAAAAAAGCGCGTAAAATAAATTCAAACAGTCTCAAACTCTCGTACGCTAGCTTACAGTAGTCACTAACGCTCGTGATCCACCACCCGCTGTCTCTTACTATGTCATAATATAAGCCTACCCATAAAGTTCGCAATTCCCCATAATAAATAGACTTTCGAAACGAATGTTAAAATAATTGCTGTAAATAGTTTTTGGGTTATTCGTTTTTTTTGCTGTCGATAGAAAAATTTTGAAAATACGTTTTCAGAACTTATATTGTTAAAAGCATAGAATTGTTGTAATTTTTTTGTAATGGATAAACTCAATAATTATTTAAACGATTTAAAAAAAAAATATTAAAAATAAATGAATATTCTATGTATCGTTTAAAAAAAAAATTAAAGATCTTCTGCCTATTTACCCACGCGAAGCTGGGCTAGATCGCTAGTCTGTTATAAGCTATTTATAATTTCATCCATTTCGATGGACTAGCACTAAGAATTATTATTGGGCCGTTTTTATTGAAACATTTTTATCATTTTTATGTTTCTGTATTTACATGTTTATATAGATCATATACATGTAGATATGTGTATACATATATAGCCATAAATACCTAATATATATCTATTAGTATACCGTAATCATGTCGAAAGTTGGGTGTCGAAAGTCGTTAACAACGTATCATTTTCACTTCCAACTTTCTAACCGTATCGTGAAAAATTCTAAAAAGGCAAACTTATAACAGAATTTGCTAAGAATTTCTACTTTTGAAGTGGTAATCATGTTTTTCTATAACATTATTATGTATACATATACATATATATACTTAGTAAACAAACTTAATAAGTCTTATCGAAGTAGGTCACATAAAAATAGGACAGCATAAAAAAATTATACAATAATAGTCACATGATCGATTGACAATATAAATAATTTAAATAAATTAGATAAGTTATGTCGGTCCCGGCATAAAATAGCCGTTAACCGTCTGCTGCTGAACAAAGGCCTCTCCTCTATAAGAGGAATTTTGCCATTAGTTGCCAAGTTTGTCAGGTGGATTGGCAACTGCAGTTAGTCTTTGGTGATGTTTTAAGAGGGACACTGTTATCCATCTTTCGATCATTAAGTTCCCTTAGTCACCTCATATGACCACCCACGGAAAAAGAAATTACATTATTGCATGTTTTATCTCCATATTTAAAAAAGACAAAATTTTCATCGTGCTTTCGATCAAAATATATATAATTAATTACTCCTCTCCATCCAAAGATTGTCTAGAAGAGATCGCTTTTATCGACAAAGACGCCCATTGTTTTCTCATTGTGATCATTTCTTGTAATTGTTTGTGTTCGGTGCATTGATAACTGACACCAAACAATGACGTCAAACTCATCGAGTTATATTGATGCGTTTGACCCAAAAACGTCAGTGCCGTGTCCGTCACCGTAACGTGCATTCATTAATATAACATTAAAAACATTTATTTAACATTTAAGAACTTTATTATTTGAAGTTCCCACCACCGCAACCCTACTTAACCCAACATTTTGGTCCTTCGAGCTTTAGACCTCGCGTGCGTCGGGATTAATTTTCGTTTCCGAGGCGGTGAGGTGGTTGAACTAGTGAAACAGTGGGAAAGTGTAGGGATTGCAATAAGTCAACATTGGAGCAGTAACCACTGACTACTGTGGTGAATTGCAACAACAACAACTTATTAACAAGTAAGATCTTTCCATTTTTTTTAACAAAACATAATTTTCGAATATGTCTCTCGAAAATCAATACTTAATCGCAGAAGAAATTGCAAAAAGTCTTAAAAACTTTCGCAAAGATGGAGCAGAGAGAAAAGGAAACGTGGATTATTTCAAACGACAATTAAACAAGCTGGAAGAACTATGGAGTGAATTCCAGTTTAATCATGATAAACTTAGTATGGAAATAAGTCGAGGCGATTCATATTTCGTCGATAGGTGCTATGATAAGGTGAAAGAAAACTGTTTGACGCTTCAAAAATTAC